ACTATACATTGCATCAGGAGGCAGTTGGCCTAATAGGATATTGCCATGGTCTAGTGAACATCAAGTCTCCTGCTCAGGAATAATACATCGATAAGGCTGAGAGGCCATTGTCTGAATACTTATAGGCACAGAAACCACAGCCGACAGATATGGCCTTGTGCTTCCAGTAACTAGAATATATGAATCTGGGAACCAAGAAGTGGAAATAATAGTGGCCTCTCTAACAATGCTTCCTAGTGATTCAATTGCAGAATTTGTTCTTTTTGGAAAAACTCTTTTACTAGGGACTATAATAGGAGTCACTGATATAACTACCACTCGATCATTTGGATGCCTCACGCTAACAGACAAGCAGATGGAGAAGACCAGGATTCTTATCAGGACTTGCTACATAATAGACCCTGAGCATTATGAATGCTGCTCCACCTAGTGGGGACAAGGGGGACATATGTCTACAAAGCTAGGGAAGTCACTGGATGGAGTCTCTTGGTGTTTCCATGCTCAGTAAAATTGGTGAATAGGCAGTTGCAGCAACAATGTTCTAACAAACGCAAAACAACTAAAGGCTCCAGTGTCTGAGTCACCCCACTAGGCTATCAGTCAGCTGTGGTGCTGGCCAAGGGTGACAGAAATCTAGAATGGATGGTGGAAGAGTGAGAAGGTGACTATCAACCACAGCCTCAGGACAGGTGGCAGCTGTAGGGTCTCTAGCTGATTCTAGTAAGCCTTGGATATTAAATTCTCTGTAGAGACTGAATCTTCTCAATCTCACCCAGTCCCTTCTTACTGCAGTGTATTGCCTCAAGCTTACATTTTGTGTTTTTGTTTTCTGCTTTTCTGATGCTGCACAGGCCTGAAGGAGCTCATTGAACCCCCATCCCTCATACGTAAGCATGTACTTGCACACACACACAAACGCATACACACAAGGCTGCCCCTTAGAAGGTTTGAGGACGTTAACAACCCCAGGCAATGATGCACCAATGGGGGATGGGCACCTGTGTATAAATACCCCTGCCTTCCATACCTTAGGACAATTTTGGGAGGCCTCCTTCATGTTTCTCAGATTCTTAATGTCCTGGGCAATCATCTTGCATAGTGTTAAGAGTTAGGTTCTAGAGTAAGACTAAATTTAAATTCTTGCACCACTACTTGCTTGTTGGATGTCTTTGGGCAAATTACTTAAATCTTCTAAGTCTCAGTCTCTCTGTGTGTAAAGCGGGGATGATAATAGTATTTAACTGGTTAATTGTTGTGATGGTTAAATGAAAAGGGTTAAATGATTAGCCTATCACCTGATGAGCCCTCAGTAAATGTTAGCTATTATTTTTATTAACATGACTTAGTATCATGACACTTCATTCATTTCATTTGCATATTGTTTTCAGCAGCTCCCGCTTTTCTATCTCGGCCATAAAGAATAACTTAGATAGCATTTTCAAGCTAGACAGTTCATTGGTAGATATGTGGTTTAGGATGCAGTGAAGAGAAAAATCTAGTTAATTCAATTTTCATTAAATATTTATTTAATATATATTTATTGAGCACTTACTATCCATGCTACTGGGCATTGTGGACATGTCAATGAGTAAGATGGGTATGGATCCTTGCCCTCACAAAGCTCACAGTCTTGTGGTGGAGATGATTATTTTCACAAGTAATTACAATGTGATTAGTGTTAATGATAAGAGAATTAGCTACAGGATGTGATGCGAGTGATAGACTGCTAATGAGGCTGTGGCCATAGATTCAATTCTCTTGTAAGTTGGTTGACTTCCAGGCTACAGCCTCTGCTGTGCTCTCTCCCAAATGCACAGAGGTTCACAGAGTCAGGCCACTTGGGCACCTGCGCACACTCCCCTTCTTTCCCAGCACTAATAATTTGTGTCCTGAAAATTCTACATAAAGAGTTAGCATTTGTAATAAGAGGGAGAAGTATTTCAGGCATTTAGCACCTGGTTTGAGAATCTCTTTGGGGACATTGCTTTGTTTGTTTGTTTGTTTTTTTGTAAGAAGGAATTAGATAAGTCTCTTAGAAGATGATTCCTAAAGTGCTTTCTATGGAGTATTAGTCTTCTTTTGTTGCTTTCAGTTTTATATCCCACATATGAGTGACATCATATAGTTCTTTTTCTGTCTGACTTTATTTCGCTTAGCATGATATTCTCAAGGTCTACCAGTTTGTCGCAAAAGGCAGTATTTCATCTTTTCTTATGGCTGAGCACCTACCCGAAACATCTGAAGACATTTATTCACAAAGATATAGATACCCCTATGCTCACTGCAGCATTATTCATGGTGGCGAAGATATGGAAACAACCCAAGTGTCCTTCAATAGATGGTTGGATAAAGAATGTGGTACATGTACACAGTGGAAAACTACTCAGTATTGGTCTCCTTAACATGAAGTTCTCCTCTCTTCTTAGAGCAGTGCTGGCAATAGGAATATTATGAACACCACATATGCAATTTAAAATTTCCTGCTAGCCTGGCCGGGCATGGCTCAGCGGTTGAGCATCGACCTACAATCCAGATGATCGGGGTTCAATTCCCGGTCAGGGCACATGCCTGGGTTGCGGGCTCGATCAATAACTCTCTCATCATTGATGTTTCTATCTCTTTCTCCCCCTCTCCTTTCCTCTCTCTGAAATCAATAAAGATATATTTTTAAAAAAAAAAATAACAAAATTTCCTGCTAGCTACATTAAAAAGGTGAAATGGAACAAGTAAAATTAATTTTAGTAATATATTTTATTTAACTCAATATAGACAATAGATTATCATTTCAAAATGCAATCAATAAAAAGTTACTAATGAGACATTTTACATTTTTTTACATAAAGTTTTAAAAACCCAGTGTGAATTTTAACTTCCAGCCCCATTGAATTCTGAGTGGCCACATTGTAGGTATTAAATAACAAATGCCACTATTGCCTACCGTCGTAAACAGTGCAGTTTTAGAGCATTATGATAAATTCTGATGACACATTTGGAGGGCAATGGAGGTTAAAGTACTCGAGGAAATGCAGGAGCAAGGACCAAAGCTGCACGGTGGAAGGAGAGAGAAAAGAGGACCATCAGGGTAGGATGGCTGAGAGGGGGCTCTGGGGACAACACGGTTATCTCATTGGAATGAATTAATTATAAATTCAGTATCTAATATGTAATTCCACCACTCCAGCTTCCAGAAAGACTTCGATAAGCCTGCATTGCTCATCAATGCTGCTGTGCAGGTGAATTATTTCAGGTGAACTTAAAGGAGGCTGAATTCTGGGGCCAGCCTGGGGCGGGGTAGTAATCGAGGCTGCTCCAAGGAGTGCAGGCACAAGTGGGTGGGACACTGAGTAACTCCTGTTTTGCTCGAGATAAGCATCTCCCTTCCCCCAGGCCTCTACAGCAGTGCAATTGTCAATGGGTTCCTGGTGCCAACTGCTCAACCTAAATAACCCTTTCTGAAGCCCCTCCTTTATTGCATGGCTGTAGCTAGAACCTTGAGAACCAGCTTCATTTTGAAACCTTTCCTTCCATACCACTGTCCTTCCAGTTCTTCCTCACTTGTGCCTGGTCTTTCTCTGGACTCGGAATGTCTATATTTCAGTCTTTGTATCGCTGACCTTTAGCATACACTCAATTTAAGGCTACGTACCACGTTTTCTATATTCATACCTGTACAGCTCACTGCTCACCTATGCTTTAGCCTTGTTTTTTCAAGTTGCTCACTAGACATTAGATGTAGGGATACAACCTTGTGATTATCGTAAACCTGACCGCAATTTCTTTCACTAAACAGTATTTTACCCTCACTTCTTTATTTTTGTCAATGAAACTCTCATTATCTGTTACGTCTATTACTTTCTCTTTGTACTTACTATTAGTACACTTGGGTCCATCTTGTGTATAGGTGACTATTGGTTGGCTTCCTATTGCTGTAACATGTTACCACAAACTTAGTGGCTCAAAAGACAGCTTTTTTGTCTTTCTCATTGGGCTAAAATCAAACTGTCAACAGGGATGCATTTCTTTTTGGAGGCTCTGGGGGAGAATGTATATTTTTGCCTTTCCCAGCTTCTAGAGGCTGCCCTCATTCCTTGTGTCACGGTCCCCTTCCATCCTCAAAGCCAGCAGAGGTCAGTCGAGTCTTTCTCACATCACATCACTCTGACACCAGCTCTTCAGCCTCCTGTTCCACATTTCAGGGCCCTTGTGATTGCACTGAGTCCATCCAGCTTTCTAATGACTAGTGAATGTCTTTTCACGCCCTTATTAGACTTCTGTATATGTTCTGTACATCTTGGTGAAGTGTCTGCTCATATATTTTGCCCATTTAAAAAATTGACTTGCTTGTGTGTGTTCTTTTACTATTGCATTTTGAGAATATATATTCTAGATGCAAATACTTTGATCAGAAGTGCAATTTTAGAATCTTTTCCCTCCGCGCCAAGGCTTATCAATCCTTTTACAGTGTCTTTTGAAAAGTAGAGTTATTAATTTTGATGTGGCTCAATTTATAATTTATTATTATTATTATTATTTTTAAAGTATATCTTTCTTGATTTCAGAGAGAGGAAGGGAGAGGGAGAGATAGAAACATCAATGATGAGAGAGTCATTGATCGGCTGCCTCCTGCACACCCCCCACTGGGGATCGAGCCCACAACCTGGGCATGTGCCCTGACCAGGAATCGAACCCTTATTGCCTGGATCCTAGGTCGACGCTCAACAGCTGAGCCACGCCCAGCCGGGCTATAATTTATTATTAATTGATGGTAGATTTTGCTTTTTGTGTCATACCTAATTAGTCTTTGCTTAGCCCAATGTCACACAGATTTTTCTTCTGTTTTCTCTGAGAAGTTTATAGTTTAGGTTTTACCTCTAAGTCTATGATACATTTTGAGTTAATTTTTGCTTATGAGGTCTTTAGTTTGACTTTGCTTTTGAAAGTTATTTTCGTTGAATTTTGAATTCTAGGATAACAGGTATTTTTTCTTTGATATTTTAAAGATGTTGCTTCTCCGTCTTCCTGCTCATGTTGTCTCCAGTGAGAAACCTGCTGCTCAGGACACACAAAAGGTGAACATTATTCCTGTGGAGTTTCGTTTTTGTTGTTCGTATATTTTCTGGATGCAGATGTTGACCATCCAACAACTGAAAGTACATTATTTTAAAACAAGTTAAAAAATTACTGTCTAAAAGTGGGTGCATTATATTTTCAAGTGAATCCAGTAGAAATGGTCCTCCAGAAATATGAAGGACTTTTAATTTTGGAAATGTTCTGAGCCAGGCCACCGCATTGTACAGTATCAGGTCCTGACATGTCATGCTTTAGGGGACAGCATCACCTCAGGGGTTTAGACAGGTTTCTCTGCATCTTTGGAATAAAACCTAGTGCCAGGCAAGTTAGTTTTGTACCTGTTCCAAAAGGAGAAGTATTGAAAGGAAATCTCTACCAACTAATTTCACCCAAGATAGGTTTATGGAAATAAGTTTTGATTCATTGATACAATTGAATAAAGTAAAAATTTATAGTTGGCTTTGAGGCTTTCATTTGATTATAAAATGTATCCTAGTTTATTTTGTAATAGATAAGGCGAAAAATTTTGTTATAGTACTAGCCTGATTTGTGAAAACCACACTAATTTTGCTGAATTATAATTGCAGTTAGAGGCAATTTGCTAAATTTAACACTAGAAAGTAGGTGAAAATTTCAAAGTAACATATGAAATACATTCTGAAGTTCTGTCAAGAAATTAATAGTATAATATATAGATGCATTAAACAATATATATAAAATAATATCCATGTATAACGGACATAGAAACTGCATTCAAAATACATTGTATTTTTATTTTTTTGCATTTCAAGGACAAAGAATCAAAGAACTAGAAGGAAATTTGTTCTATTTGTGTTTAGATTTAGTATTGGGCCAATTCATGACAGAAAGAAGGCATTTATTTATTTTTATTTTCTATATACTCTAGAGAAAAAGTTTCTACTGTTGAATAAATACAATTAAATGAAGTCTGGAGAGGTATGATGTGGCTATTTCCTTTAATCTTTAAGATATTGTATATAAGACTTGAGGAAATAATTACTTCTTTCAGCTTATGAGCCAAAGCCCTTAAATTGAAATATTATAACCAATTACCGTAAAAGCAGTCTAAAAAACTATAATGATGCCAGGCTACTGTGGCTCAGCGGTTGAGTATCAACCCATGAACCTGGAGGTCACGGTTCGCTTCCTGGTCAGGGCACATGCCTGGGTTTCGGGCTCAATCCCCAGTCGGGGGTGTGCAGGAGGCCGCCAATCAATGACTTTCTCTCATCACTGATGTTTCTCTTTCTCTCCCTCTCCCTTCCTCTCTCTGAAATCAATAAAAACATATTTTAAAAAATCTATAATGATGATTAATAAACCTAGGAAAATATTGGCTCACTTTTTTTGAGTCACTGGTGTTAATAATGCCCGAGTCCCCCTAGTTTCCTTTATTGTATTAAGATTATCATGATACATTTTTATACACATTTAGTTAAAGTATTCATATGTATTCTCATTCTTATACAGAGTAAAAGTAAAAGCAAAGATGAGGTTTAATGTGATGAAGGTTTTTCTCAGTTTTTTTACTTAGTCTGAAAGTGAGATTTTGTCTTTTAAGAAAATTGTTATTCAGCTATGCTTACCATGAATTGTTTTATCTTTGACTCATGTAACTGTTACATCTATGGCTATCAATCTGATTACCCCATGCCATAAAAATTTAGTATATTTCTACTGAGTAGCTACTGGGTTATTATTCATTTTGCAGGTATAATTAGGTCCATTAATTGATAACATGACTTAAATTTAAAGCAACTAGTAAAGTTTCTTTCCCCAATAACCCTTTTAGCAACAACTCGCCCCACGTCTGAAGTTCTTTGAATCAGTTTTCATCACAACTATATAATGTGACCATGATTTAACTCCCTTTAGTTTAATTTCATCACAATAGACTTTTTTTTAAAAATCCTCACCTGAGGACATGTTTTATTAATTCTAGAGAGAGAGGAAGGGAGAAAGAGAGAGAGGGAGAAACATCTATGTGAGAGAAACATTGATTGGCTGCCTCACATACATGCCCCGACTAGGTATCAAATCCTCAACCTTTTTGGTGTACGGGACCATGCTACAGCAACAGAGCCACCTGGCCAGGGCACAGTAGACTTTCATAAAATAAGTTTTTAAAAAAATTTCTTTGTGTATATATATATATATATGTATATATATACGCACACACACACACACACACAAAGAAATAAAATTTTGGATATGTATATCCAAAATTATACATATATATGTGTGTATATATAATTTGTTTATGTATATATCTATCCAAAATTATATATATATTTTTCTGTTTATATTGTATGTGATTATTTTAATGTGATTGAGGTCTTAACAGCAAAGTAAATTCTTCTAGAAATAGAATGGCTAGCTTTCATTCATTGAGACATTTAGAATTATTTATGCTAGAGCTAACATGGGAAGAGAAATATTACTTAAGACATCTTGTAACAATATTCTATTGGATTAATTAGGGGGAAAAAAGACTGAGGGCCAACATAGCTTGGAGAAAACTTATAGCATGTGGTTCATTCCATTTTAACTTGCTACGATATATAAGGTGGTCTTCCTTACCTTTCTCCCCAACCCCTCCCCCCCTTTTTTTTTTTGGTCTTAAGTTTGCTCAAAGTAATGGAATAAAAACAGGGCATTTTTCCAGGCTTATGAGAAAGCAGCAGCCGTTTTGGCCTTTACCTGGAAGAGAGGCATTTCCTCCCCGGCGACTTTTTACAGACACAGAAAACCTTTCCCTCCCTCTTGGTGGCCAGAGCTGGGTAAAATACTGTCCTTACACCAACATCTGGCAAATGAGAGAAAGAGAGCAGGCGCTGTGGAGAGGACACCTACATTTATGGCTTACGCATCTGGAAATAAGGTAGGTAGGTTTGCTTTTTGTGTTTTGGGTGGTGTAGGAAAGTCCAGAGTTCCATTTTGTGTATGTTAGATCTGGGGTGCCTATGAGACAAAACCGAGAGGTCAGGGAGCAGGTGGATATTGACACATGGAGTAAAAAGAGGAAATAAAAATGTAAACATAGTCAGCGAAAAGATGGGTTTTTGAATATGTGGAGTAGCTGACCAGCTGCGGGGGAACAGACGGGGTGACCGGAGGCCGGGCCGCACCCTGAGGAACCGCAGCGCCCCGGGTGCGGGTGCGAGAGGAGCCGGCGTGGGAAAGCCCGGGTAAGTGTGTGTGTGGGGGGGGCGCTTTCCAAGGAGGAGGGAGGGGTAATCGTGTCCTGTTTGCCAAAAGGCCCAAAGAGACAAAGACAAGAAAGCGGCCTCTGGGTTTGGCGCGGCAGCTGGGCGGCGAGGTGCGGGGCGAGGCCGCGTCTCCAGAGGCTGGAGGGGCCCTGAGCGCATGGGGACAGCGCGCAGAGCAGCCCCTCGGAGGAGTCGGCCTGAGGCGGGGGGGGGGCCTGAGACGGCGGGGCCACGGAGGGGACTAAGGCCACCGGACACTGCAGCCTGAGCCCATCTCTACGCTGGTGGAGCCTTCCCTCAGCAAAGGAGAGGGGTTCCTGATGCGGGGAGGCGGGGGACAGCTCGCGGTGCGGCACGCCCGGGAACAGCGCGCACATGCATGCACATCCACACGCGATTTTACTGTTAATGGTTTATGAGAGTATAAATAGAATATCCATTGTTTGGTGAGAGTGATTTAAGAGTTTTGCGAAGTGGCTCCAAAATCCAGACTCTTAGAGAGACAGATTGTTTCCAATTAGCTGTGTGACCTCGAGGAATTTGCGTAACCTCTCTGTTCTCCACTTCCCTAATTTATAAAATGGAGCTAGTACTATAAGGACCCACCTCAAAGGGTTGTCATCAAGGTGACCTAAGTTAACATACGCAAAGCATTTGGAACAGTGCCTGGTACATGGTGGGTAAACTATGTACCAGGCACCTTACTTTCTAGTATTTGCTGTTTGGTTCTACTAAGTAACCTAAGCTAAAGGTGCTGTCTTCAGGAAAAAATTATTGATTAAAATTTTATTATTATTTCTACACACTTCTTGGCTTATGCGTAGAGCTTTATAAAAAGCGTTATATATTGAGATGCAACCTAAAGTAGCATAGTGAAATTTACATTTTGAAAGATAGTTTTCCAAGCATTAGTTAAAAACGATTGGTTAGTATTATATGTTTATTATTTTCTGCTTGTTGGAACTCTTGTCCTGAAATATAAAAATATGATAGCTAGACGTTTATCAGAAATCTTCCAAGAATATTTGAGGGGAAGCAGTCAAGGTGCTAAATTAAAACATAGTGTGAAACAGATGGATACAAATCTTGTGCTACAGACACAGTGCTTCCCTCCTCCCTTGCTGAATGTTAATTCCCACCCAAGACTGTCTAGTTGTTTGCAGGAGTCTGCAAAGATAGAACATTTATAGGCATTAATGCTCTGTGGGTATACAAGATGCTGGCCCTGAAGAACTAAGAAAGCATGAATAAATGTATTCCAATCACAGGCTAATGCAGGTAATGGGTTTATAGTACTTAGAGGCTTGGGCCCGCTCTCTGACAGCCTGCAGACATTAGGAGCCCCTCATGGCTCGCCTGCAATGTAGGCATTATGGAGTGATTTTTACTTTACTGCCTTTTCCATCAGATCATCTCCTTTCTTTCACACACAAGGTTAATTCACTTCTTGATCACATTATTTCCTCGCTGCTCTTTGACAATATAAAAATTCTGAGTGGACAGCTCAATCCCTCTTCCATCTCAGATTTGATTGTTATGGTATTGCCTGGCGTCCCTCAGAGGCCTCCAGCAGCCTTTGCTGCACTTTATGACACTTAAATGGCTCGGCTACAATTTCTCCATCTATTCACGAAATGCTGTTAATAACTCATTTCCAAAGAGGCCCTTCTTTATGTCTTGGCATTAAAGGAATTTTTATTAGGTGCCAGGATAGGTGACACACAGCCCCAGTAACCAAAGAGTTAATTAATCTGTTGAAATTTATTGCCTTTTATACTGCACTCAGTGTGACAGTCCCTAAGAGAAACAGATACTATATTTACGACCCGGGCTGAAATATTCAGTAATATAGTCTGCATACTGACCTACTCCATCAGTGTATGCCTTCTGCTGGAACATCCATTAATCACGGAAGATGAATTTGCCTAATCTATCTTCTTTTTTATTCTGAGATTCCAATAAATATTGAAATAATAATTTATTGATTACCTTGCAATATAAATGTGTAGTAAAGTCACCCAAGACATTTGCATGGTAATGCATTTTGGAAGTTCTTGGCATTCTGTGGGAATGAAAGGAAAAACTGTGATAGGAGTTACATGGAATGCTCTTGTGGGCAAACACCAAATAATTTTTTTATTGTGTGTGGAGAAATGATTAGGTAGTTTTTGAATTATCAAAAATCATAGCCACTGCCACAATAATTACATTCGCCAAAGTAAATGACATGAGTATTTATCACATTTGCTCCTTTCCTTCTTTGTGTGTCATTCCCAGAATATTTTAGATCACAAATAATTTCTTTGTGCCGCCTTTTAGCCGCCCTTCTTTCCTGCACTATGGGGCAAAGATGAAAAAGATGTAGGAATGTTGGGTGCTAATTTCCATTTAATTCCAGTAACATCTTCTGGGACCATTTTATAAATTATTCAGGTTGAAACATGTATTTCCTACAACTGTAGTTCAGATAATGATTTGGGCACTCGTCCTCAATTTGAGTTCAGTTCTACAGTTTTTATGAGTTTTTGCTGTTACTTGTTGGGGATTAGTTTTGTCATAATATGAGGATCATGATAATTTTGGCATCAAGTCTGATTTGGTCTGAAAGCATTGGAGAAGTGTATGAAAGGTGTTGTAGAACATTGAGATGCCCTGTGGGTCAAGCATAATCATTGTTAAAAATAAAAAATGGAAAATTCTGAATGTCGTATCTGGATGTACTATAAATGACTGTGCTGTGTCGGATCAACATGCTGAATGAGTGGCATCGTCTCTTCTGCACAGGTGCCACCCCGGCAGCCTCACACATTAGGGGTGTTACCGTCTCAGTGCTAGTCGAATTCAATCATGTACAGTTAATGCAGCTCCATTTCTGGTCTCCATAATAATTTATCTCAGTTTTGGGCCAGTCTTTATGATCAAGATAACTCCTCAGAGTGGATGAAGTTCTCATGTGTGGGTTTGTTTTCTAGAGCTTTGCTGATAAGGTTAACCAGATGGTGAAATGTAATAACTCTGAAGATCTAGTTTTGATATACAGTCAATCATTTCTGGAATGATAACAAAAAAGCAAAAAGGAACAGAGCTTTTTATATTCTCTTGGTTATGAAATTGAAAATATACTTTTTTCGAGGATAAAGGAGTATCTCATCATAATTCTCCTGACATTTAAACCTCTTAGCTATATATTTCTAAAGAAAGACAAAGTATTTAGCAAATTTTGCTATAAATTTTTATACACAGTATATTTATATCACATTTTTAATGAGAAACTATAGAACTTTTTAATGTCACCTGAAATAGTGTTTCTGATGTAGATTTAAGAATAAAATACATTTTCTTCAGTATTTTTAGAAATAGTGATAGCAGTGAAGTCATATGTTTCTTCAGTGTCCATTTTATTTTGATGAAACCTCACATCAGTGACTATCAACATATAGAATTAAGCAGCCATGATCTTTATTCCTCTGTAACACATCTAATTTAACACAGACATTATTCTTTGAAGATGGACAATGTACACTTTTTCATCCATTTTGCTTTCTGCTGATTTGAATTATTTTAATTGTGAATACGTATCTTTAAATATCTCACAAAGGAATTGTGTTGGTGCATTAGTCTACAGATATTTCTTTGGTGATTAGGTTTGCTTTGCTATGAGATGGCATATTAATTGCTGTATTAATTTTTTTCCTTTTGGTCCCTTTTACTTGTCAGTATTAATAGTGGCTCCTTGTTCTGCTCCTATAAAGTTACATCCTGATTTAAGCTCTCCCTGGTGTTTGACTAATTGGACTATTCATTTAAAGTATACTATGTTTTAGTACCTTATCTTCCATGGTATTTTACATTTTGGATTGACTAATTCTAATTCCTATTTCACAGTAGTATAATTTCACAGTAGCATAACCTTGGGAATCCATTAAATTTGGCCTTTAAAACACTGCTTTGTTTTTCTCCGCACCGTAGTGAAAGCTGTGGCATTTTCTGGCAGCCACATAGACTCTTTCTCTTTTTATAGCAACATTACCTTCCCTTCCCTTCCTAAGTCAAATCAATGCAACACGATATATGTTTATTAAGCATCCATTACGTGACAAGTTCTGTGTTAGGTACTGAATATATGAACTTGAATAGGCCTAATTGCTACTCTCAAGCTGTTCAAAGTCTGTTGAGTGAGACAGAAAAGTAACAAATGATTTTTAAAAACACTTTTCCCCTTCATCACATTAATTCCTTAAGTTCAAGTTAGATAATTTTGTAAACTAGCCAGTTTTGAGCCTTCATCCAAGTGTAGACACTTCTTTAAGCACTTGAAATGGATTATTTTAATATTCAGTGTTAATGAGGCTAGTATCACCCCCATCTCACGCTGAGTGAGGCGAGTTACAGAGATGCCAGGTAACCTGCCTGGCCTTGACCTCTAGAGCACCTGAGGAGGGATTAGAAAGTGGCACCTGACTCCAGCCATGGGGACTTGACCACTCACTCTTCCTGGTCTGCAGGACATAATATAGGTTCTTAGGAGTAAAAATTACCATTATTATTGTAAATTTATTGTCCTACCTCCAATTATCAAATCCTTTCCCCAGAACTTGTAATGCTCCTCTATCCCACACACACGCAAGGCCGTTCCTAGGCTCTGCTTTATTCCCAGGTAAACCCATTCCTT